TCAGACTCCCATGGGGCCATGCAGGGGCAACTCTCTAGGTTGTGTTTTGAATCCAGGTTTGGTTGAGTTCTCAGATGCCATGTGGTGAGTTGGGGTGAAGGGCTAATGCTATCATGCCTTAATCCCATCACCCTAGAGCTGAAGAGGGAGAGCTTTGTTATGTAGAATAGACTGCCTCTGGCATTTTAATGGGCCATTAAGGAATGTGGGGGCTATTAAGAGTAAGTCTGTTTCCTGCCTAAAAACATTTCTTATCCAGGAAAATATAATATTCTGCCTTTCCAATACTTCCCAGGATATTTCATTTTTCTAGCAGAGAGGTGGGTGCTAACTTCCTACAGTTACCTCGCTGCCAAGCAGACAAAAGCACTGCTTCTAGAAGCAGCTCTTCCTGGGATGCTCCATGCTTCTCCTCTCCCATCTGTGCTTTGCACCTGTTGGAAGGAAAACCCATCTAGTTCAGATCCAAGCTGGGAGAAAGACGCTGGAAACAACATGCAGTCTGATTGGAAAGAAAAGGTTTAATGTCCTAGGTCAGCTGAGCACATGGTTGAACGAGTGGGTGGATCTTTATAGGTTTCTGTGACTTTGAAGTTTGGACTGTTCTGGGTGTGTGTGCAAGGGCGTTGGGCAATTCCTATTGTGGCTAATGGCTTTTGTTCTGCGTTGGATCTTGAGTGAGGAGTTGCTTTCTAACACTACATTCTGCCTTTGTCAAATTTGGCTGCAAGGAGTTTCAAAATATCCTGCCTTGAATGGATTTCTGCCTGCAGTGTTTGCTTTTCCTATGAATAGAGCTACCTAGATAGATGTGTTCCTCATTCAATAAGCTCTTTATCTCCTTAAGTGCTGGCATCTGCTGGCTATTGAGGAAGATTGGGGGCAGCTTTCTGAGCATGTTTCTTCATTTCTTCCTTTGGGGAAATATAATATTCTGCCTTTTTAAATATTTCCCCCCAAAAATTCATTCTTGCAGGGAGGGGGGAGGTTCCCACATACCCATTGCTCCTGTCTTGCAAAGGATCCGTTCACACATGTCTATGGAGATTCTCAGTCCTGCAAGTCATGGTGCTTTTTTTCCCCAAGAGGCAACTGGACTTTCTTTAAAAAAAAACAAAAAACAAATATTTTTTTATTTATTTACAAACATACAAAATACACACACACAAAACTTAAACATACACTAGATTTACACAATACAGTATGAACAGGAACTTCCTGTTCTTTATAATAGCAATTACCAATCAATACAATTCTCCTTATGTTATTTTCCCTTCTAGTATATTTCATTTGCATTTCACCATTTTTAACCCTCTTATTTTACTCATCTATATTGGGTGATTACCTCTAGTACATTTAAACTCTCTTTGAGTGTTTAACATACATATACATACATACATACATACATACATACATACATACATACCGTAGATTTTCACGGGTACAGGTATGCAGGTTTTGGTGTATTCGGGTCTTTTCCTATGTAATATTGAGAGTATCTTGGCAACGTTTCGACAAGGTCCCACTCATCATCCTCAGGCTGGTGTCTTCAGCCTCCTGCCTGTGTGAGCAAAGCATGATCGGAGCTGCCGTCCCTCTATAAATATTGGGGTGTGTGTGTGTGTGTGTGTGTGTGTGTGTGTGTGTGTGTGTGTGT